ACATGCAGAGAATAAATATCATTTTTTTTGCACTTTGTAAAGGTTATGTTTGTGCCCCCTCAGTCTTGCGAGTCTGCATCCTTCCCTGGTTTGACTATATGTTCGGCTAAAGCATTTCTAATTATGTGTTGAATAAATCAAACTTTTTACTAAACTATAAATAGATAAAAATACTCATGCATTTATAATATACATTAGATCTTTATTTAGTTATTTCGTTTTTTTTTTGTTTTTTTATTGACTCATTTTTTTTATATATATTTTTGTTGAGTTTGTAACATGTCATTTAAATCTTTTTATATTACGACATCATTATGTTATTTTTGAAAAAAAAATATTATGAGTTTATTTGTTCTATATTTTATTTTATTCTTGCAATCATATGTTTAATTATTTAATTAATTTATCTTATCGGCAAAAACATTCATTACCACGTGCATCGCACGTGCACTTTACTAGTGTTCATAAAAAAGGCAAAATTTCTTTTGGCCCATTATATTGGCAATTTTCAAAAAATGGTCCACTAATTTGGCGGACATCAAACTTGATACAATAAGTTGTAAAATTCATCATTTTTGGTCCATAAGCCTACGTGGCGTTATATCGGGCGAATACGTGGACAAGTTCGATGTCGCCACGTAGGCTCGTTATCCAGCCCGAGTGATTAATGAACCAAAAATAATGAATTTTACAACTTATTGTATCAAGTTTGATGTCCGCCAAATTAGTAGACCATTTCTAAAAAATGACCAATATAATGGACCAAAAATAAAATTTTGCCTCATAAAAAAATCACCTAATGAAATGAACAAGGTTGACTAAAATTGCCCATGAAATCTGCATACAAAATGACCTGTAGAGTAACTCTAACGTTAGGCTCTTCTTGACGAGCCACTTTTTCCCTTCCTTTAAGGTTCAAAAGTCAATTTCCTGGACTCAATCACAAGATTTTGCCAGCTAAAATCTTTAAATCCAAGGTAACACTTCACATTTATTATGGCTATGCTCACATTCACTATCAATCTCTCTATCTCTTCTCATTAGCAACCTTTCCCCTTGTCACCAGAGATTCATGTGGCCTAATGACGAAACCAAATAGATTGCTCGATGGCCGGAAGTTCATCGTCTCTTGCTTCTTCTTGATCACCTTCCTTTGCATATTAGCCTCGATAAATGAAATTCGTTTTGATAGTCTCGTAATGTTTGGCCAATGTGCCTTTTCTCATTCACAATCGCTTGAAACGCCCGAAATTGACACACCGCCTTTGCCATCCTCGTCGAGCGACGTCATGAGGATACTGATCGGGATTCTAACACTTCCCGATCACTACCACAAGAGGCACTTCCTCCGGCTCATCTACGGGACGCAATCCCTGGTCGGTGCCCGTGTAGACGTCAAGTTCGTGTTTTGCAATCTCACCAAGGAGGAGCAAAAAATCTTAGTGACGCTCGAAATCATGCGTTACGACGACATAATCATCCTCAATTGCAAAGAGAACATGAACAAGGGTAAGACCTACACGTATTTTTCGAGTTTACCTGACATGTTTCTTAACGACACGAGTGTGCCATATCCGCCTTATCATTATGTAATGAAAGGAGATGATGATGCGTATTTTAGATTGCAAAATCTAGTCGACTCGTTGAGGTCAATGCCTAGAGAAGACTTGTACTACGGCTACGTCATACCGTGCCCTAGTATGGACCCGTTTGTGCATTACATGTCGGGCATGGGCTATTTAGTGTCGTGGGACATTGTCGAGTGGCTCAGAGATTCTGACATCCCCAAGAAACATCTAGTAGGACCGGAGGATAAGATATTCGGGGAGTGGCTTCGGGATGGTCGTCAAGGAAAGAATAGGTACAACGCGAAATGGTCGATGTACAACTATCCAGAGCCACACACGGGATGCACGCACGAGCTGTGGCCGGATACTATAGCGGTTCATCTTTTGAAGACCCAAGAAAAGTGGATTAAGACATTGAACTATTTCAATGTCACTCGAGATTTGAAGCCCTCCAAATTATATCATATAGCTTAGGCAATGTCATTTGCGATTTTTTTTTTTCCAACTTAGACTGTAATGTTCTTGCATTTGTCATTTGTGAGTTGACCCGCCATCTATGCGGGCCACCCACCAACTGAAGGTTTTTTTTTTTTAACACGCACGGGAGGATTAATACTGGTTCCCCAATTCCCCTCCCAGTGACTCGAACTTGGGATATGGGTACGCCGAGCGAGGTATGCGCACTGCGCTAAACCCTCTTTGTCACCCACCAACTGAAGGTTTTCCCTAGCCAATTGACACGCTTGCTTAATGAATTGAAAATAATTGCACATATATGGATGGAGAAAAAGATTAGCATCTCTACGAAATCTACAGGAAATAATTACAAAAATGCATAATGTCAGACTGAACGATCAGGCCCGGCTGCACTGCGTGACGAAGGGGTGCTGCCGTTGTAGGCAGCTAAAATCCGGCTGGAGAAGTTGTGGTGACTGGGGCCGCTCTGAACGCGTGAGATGGCCTGAGGTTGCTGCGTGGCTGAACGTAGAGATGACCGGACATGGATGCTCCGACTCCGAGGCTGCCGGATACCAAGCCATCATCGAAGAGGTCATCGAAAATCCGAGCTTCGAGTTCGTGAGTGCAATTAGTGGCGGACTTAATCTAAAAAAATAAATTACGCGATTGAAAAAAAAAAAGAAAGATCTCGATTGGTGGTTTGGTCCACTGCACTAGGTCTCCGATCGGATGCACGGGGTCTTGGAAGCCTCGACTAGTCGAAAGTCAGGTAATCGAGGTCAATCGGTTTTCATATCCATGTTTCTCAACTGTAAATCAACTCTTATAAACGAGCTTTATATCCCAATGATTAGCCAAGTAAATGTCTGGTATCATCTCGAGATATGACTACCAAGAAACAATAACTTTTACTGCATAAAAATGACTTCTACACTACCAAGAAACAATAGTTTTTACTGCAGAAAAAGAACCAAA